TTTTTTATATGCAAACGCACTTTTCTAACTGAAAGAGTTGTTAGGAAGTACAAAATGAATCTGTAGCGTACAAACAACTACAACAGAATACGGATATGTCTACTTTTCGTTGAAGGATCTCTCAGCATTAATTATGTCACTTGTCGATATGGAGAGTTTTAAAATATCACTAGACAATCAGCTGTTGTTCCACCGTGGTGGATACTCGTGAAAAATACCGTACCTTTCTGATATGAAGATACCAAGCAAGAAGCCAGCCATGGAATTGGTAAACGCCCAAACCATGGAGTCTTGTAAAGTATAACGAATTTGATCTTATTTTGTCATATTTGAACAACAACTATGATAAATAATTATATACATCCAAGATAATACTAACTAATACTAAGCAGTATGTATTCAGAAGCAGAATGCCATGTCTGCGTCTATCAAAGTGGTAGCGGTAGTAACTTTTTCTCTAATGAATCGGTCTCTTTTACACCTGCTAGGCCAACAAGCGTTTAAAAAAATCAAGATGAAGCCATAAGTCAGGCGTTATTTACATATTTCTCAGGCTTTAATTAATGTTTACCCCTATCGCATATCTACAACGAAGTTGCCAACCAAATAACGAATGTACTATTTCTTGCATACAGTAAAAAAACGGCAATCCAGCTTTACCAGGTACATATATAATAAATAATAATATATGCTCATGATAATTATGTGCTTTAGGCCCGTGGAGAGGGAAAACCAGAGCAGAAAACTTCACTCAAGTCTCGGGGAAAAGGAAGGCGGAGTTTGTTAACACGACTTCAAAATTGAAAATAAAGTGAAAGCACTATAGTCACGAAAAATTTTCGATATATGTTTTCTGGATATACGATACTTCAAGAAAAACCTTCGTTACCATCTGTCTAGTAATCCCTACTTTTCTATTTTAATATTATCTATGAGCAAGTTTGGATGTTTGCTACTTAATCTTGCCAAAATGGCTGAACCGATCTGGATGAAATTTGGTACAGAGATAGATTGAAATATCTATTTTACTGGCTACAGCCCAAACGGCTTAATGGCCTTTGACACTAGGTGTCTGACGAGAAAGCGTTCAGACGCTGGTCCGGCCGAAATGAGTAAGTGTTTATAAATTCGTGCATTTACTGCATTTCTGCATTTATTTTCTCAGAATGATCATCTTGATATGAGATGGGCGTTTACGCGTATACTTTAATTGTTTATGTTTCAATGTAGACGATGCGTATACTCTATTTCACGAGTATCCATCACGTTTTGACGTCTACTAGAGTGAACACTTGATCAACAAGTGCCATGTTTGTATTGGTCTGTAACCATTGGCAATACTCGTAATGAATCGGGTACAAAACTAGTAAAACTTGCTTGCAGCGTCTTTTTTGTATGCAAACGAACTTTTATAAATAAAAGAGTTGTTAGCAAGTACAAAATGAATCTGTAGCCTACAAAAACCGAAACATACGGCACGGGTAGTACGTAAAAGAAACGACGAAATGTTATCTTGCGGACTAGGTAGTTTTTAGTGTGCAAATAGTTCATTTCACGTTTGCTCGCTGTAATCGCTGTTCGCTGACGTTTAAACAGGTACAGCTACAAAATGAGTTCACAACAAGTGTACTACGGCTTATGCTAAGTTAACATCTTGTAGACCATGCCACTTATCAAGATACGTAAAACCCGTGCGGCTCTGTCTTGCTGGCCTTGACGGATCTGCCAAAATCAATAATTGAGGGAGATCCTACAATTGTAGGACGCCTTTATGGCCTCCTTGCCTTCCATAGTTTTCTACTCTTCCGAGTCAGCGCCTTAATTTGAGGTTATGTTACAAATATCTATCTGCATCAAATTGTTCATGCTTCTGATTTATGTCATCTGTTATATACCCTGAGATTTCCTACAATTCATGAAGAAGACATAGGAGAGCGCTGACACGGAACAGTAGAAACCTAGAAATATCCTAGCCTTTCTGAAGGAGAGAAAAGACTTTGAAAATCAAGGCCATAAAGGCGTCCTACAATTGTAGGAACGACTGACGATACGGTCCTAAATAATCAGCTGTCTTTCTACCGTAATGGATACTCGTGGAGTCGACAATATATAGTGGTGTAGATGTAGAGAATGATATAGCCTCTTTCATGAGTATCCATCACGCTTTATTCTACTGAGGTGAACAGCTGATCAGCAAGTGACATTTTATGTTACTCTGCAACGATGGCAATAATGAATCGGGTTTAAATCTTGTAAAACTTGTTTGTGGCGTTTTGTTTTTTGTATCCAAATGAACTTTTCTGAATAAAACAGCTGTTAGCAAGTACAAAATGAATGTATAGCGTACAAAAAACCAAAACAAAAAAGTCTGAATTATGTGTCCTGTGCCGATATGGGGAATTTTGAGATATTACTAGATAAACACCTGTCATTCTACCGTGATGGATACTCGTGAAATAGGGTATAGAATAACATACATGAGGTTAGGTGAAGGTTGCCAGGCGTGGCGATTTTTCGCCAAGGTGGCGATTTGACGGCTTCAAATGTCGTCTAACATGGATAGCTTGGCGATTGGCTACTTTAATGACGCCCAGTATCCATCAAATCATCGATATCTGACGATTTATAACATTTCTGAAGCCAATTAATTTGTAATCCATCTTTGCTGATATGTGTGTAGATTAATGAAACATGAAACAACGACCACCGGAAGTTCTGTGCTCTAAGCACAATGGGGTTTATTGTCAAGGTGTCGTGTTCCAAGCATATCAACGGCATCCCATCCTAACATGTTTGACTTAGTGTTGCTGGATGTACGATTATTACCGTTTTTGTACTATAATCGGGATAAAGAGAGAGAGTCCCCCCAAAAGATCACTGGGGAACGGTAAAAACGCAGAAAATTACTGTCCCCGCTCTTCAATTTTCAACCTAAAAAGTCTAACAACCATCCATCCTCAGCTCCCCTTTTCAACGATTTGTTTATTATTATATATTATTATGCCTAACCCTTGCTCTTCAGTTATCGTGAACAGGCAGCAGGCTACTAACCGCCCCACACCCCCCCCCCCCCCTACCTTTGCCGATGATAAATCCATTCCAGGATTGGCGATTTCTGGTGATTTTCTCATAAAAAATTGGCGCCCTGAAAACCTTGCAACCTTGGGTTAGGTTTCCTCGCAAACGTCACAACAGAATTGTTGTATCGTAATATGCGGCTGTCGGTGTGCTATTTTAGTATTTTCTACTTGGCGAACCAGAAATTATAGTAAGAAGAAGTAGCAGTAACATTACTTCTTATGGAATGATCGATAACAACCAATTTAACTATAGACGACTCGGAATGAAATCAGCCAAATGGGTCGATTTTTTTACCAGATTGTATCTTATTTAAGAAATGTTCCTAATTCATTCAAAACTATAACTTTGTATAAATAAATAATAAATACCTATAATTATACCTTTTCTACTTATTCAACAATTACTTTTAAAGGTATTGCATATATAAAAACAACCTAATTGAACTATGATTTGCTACTGTATACATTGTCAACATTGGTATCATCACGTGTACAACTACAATTGTATACGCGTATACAGGGTGATTCACAAGTCGTGACCTAAAATGAAACATCATACCTAGGACCTCGAGGGCTTCATTAAAAAGATACGGGGTGTTAAGTTTAAAAATAAAAACCATTTTTTTAAGATCTTCAAAATCGTCAACTGGAATGAACTAAAATTTGGTATGTGGATTTGTAGCATTTTTATATAGTATCCAATTTTTCGAATTTTACTTTCAATTTGCTACAAATAATTACTCTTGTTTTTTCCTAGAGTGCACTGTTTTCGTAAAAATAAAAAGAACACAAACTAGATCATGCGTGAAGAGCAGAAATACAATTAGCTTCAAACTAAAATAGGAGGCCTTGATACCAAATTGACGTTTCTTGGAAAATAGTTTATCAAAGTTATGTGTTATACGGTTGTTATCGTTACTACTACCATTTTTATTTTTTTTTTGTAAAAGTCAGGTCATACGTTTCTTTTTTGAATGTAGTGAAATGGAATTTAGTCTCTCCTTAAACATGTTTGGTATCTGGGTAGCCAAACCTCACAGACTAACAGACCGACAAGACTTTTAACTACGAGCAAAGGTCCACCGGACCGCTCTGACGAATAATGACGAATAGTAGTAGGAATTTAGCAATGATGGGTACGTCGATATTATTGTGTACGGGTTCTGTAATAGAAATGTTTTAGCGGCTTCTCGGGCATATCAACGTAGATTTCCTAACAGATGCCAACATACCCCCAAAGGTTTTTACGCGTTAATTTCTAAGACTTCGGCAATATGGAATTGCCAAACTTCCCCGAATTAGAGGCCATGTTGTCCGACATAATGTTCTAGAGTTACCATGTTCCCAAAGTCTTGCGTGGAGAATTTTAAATCGAGAAGTTTTACATCCTTACCATCGGCAAAATGTGCTATATCTAAAACGAGGCGACGAAGTGAAACGACGAAATTTTTATGAGGGGTTACTGAAAATGCATAATCAAAATGCAGATTTTTATTGATTTGGTTTTGTGGTAGATGAATCGCTTTTTATGAGGAGTCGAACCTTTAATTCTCATAATGAACATATTTGGTCGTTAGAAATCACCGTTCTGGAAGAATCCACTCGTTTCAACACGGATTTTCTAGAAATGTCTGGTGCGACATTTTCAATGGCCAACTGTTTATGCACGTATTTCCACAACGTTTAAATGCAAACGCATACTTAGCTTTTCTAGAGATTTACATAGAAAATGTGTTAGATGATGTTCCATTAGCACAGAGAGTACGAATGTGGCATCAGCACGGCGATGCCCCATCTCATGTTCGTCGTGACATAACCGCATAGTTAAATAGTCATTTTAGACAACGAAGGATTGGCAACAACGGACCCGTACAATGGCCTGCGAGGTCTCCTGATTTGAATCCCTTAGATTTCTTTTTGTGGGGCGATTATCAACAACTATTGTATGCTGAACAAATTAATACTGCTGATCAGTTACAAGAAAGAATAGATAATGCGTTTCATGAAATTCAAGCCATAACACAACAAATTTTGCGGAAACACGTTTTTCTTTATTAAAAAGATGCCGCACTTCCGTCAGAATGGTGGTCTTTTTGGCCATTGATTGAAATAAAGCTTTGATTACATACAGGGTGGCGCATCGAAAACGAAACAGGCGCATTTGCTGGCAGCTCAGGTTTTTTTTTGAAAAACACTCAGACACGTCGATTTTGTTTTCGAGGGGGACACAAGTTTGGCAAAAAGCACGTTAACACGTGCAGCCCCCTGGGATTGTTTACATTTATTTGATGTTAAATCTCACTTCAAGTATAATATTGTGAATAAATAGTTATTGGATTTGGATAGCTGTGTTCTGTTCATATTGTAGTAATGTGTTTGTGGTGTGCTTATAGGTTTAAAATACTGTTCTTAGTTGATTGTCAGTTCGGTCCATTCTCATTAAAAGCCTTGATCGGTAAATACGAAATTGATTTTGATTTATTGGTTTGCCATTTGGTTTACTTTAAGTACGCTCTGTAAATAAACTTTTATTAGGTTAGTTGTGTGCTTTAAAGTTTAAATAGATTAGTCATAGTTATCGGCTTAGATAAGTTATAATTTGTGTGATTCATTGTTACTTGGTAGTTTTTGAAAAGCCAGGAATACGCAAATTCAATCTTTGGCAAAGGAGTAATATAGCTTGCGCCATGATAGTAACTCCCGAAAAATCTATAAATTTACGCTACAGATAATACAACATGGAATAGTAATCCAATGGATCACTATAGGTACACTTGTTACATTACACGTTAAGATATACCACATAGGGTGCGAGATATTTCAAGTACTATTTATTGTGGTTGCACATTTAATAATAATTTATTGTTGGACTAAAATGTAATATCCATTGCCAGAGTAACTATTGCATTACTTTGAATATAGCATTTCTTTGTCTGAAACAATCTCCTTCACACTAACGAAAAACGAACGACCTATATTTTACAGTACTTCACGCGAGCGGAGCCGCGGGCTTAGGCAAGTCCATCCATAACGCGCATTTTTGCACTCAACTTGAGTAGCGCGGCAATGTCCCACTACAGTGTTCCCCATTCGGATGCCTCTTTATCTAAGTAGGAACAAAAAATCATTCGTCGAACATTCTCGGGTCTCGTGAATGGTACTGCCGTTTGGCAGAAGTCGGGTACATAAAACAATACTATTCGGATTTTGTAGGAGAGAATACAATTTTTTCTAGCCCATCTATAAATCTAAAGGTACATTTGGGTTTTGTCGAGATTTGAGTACAATGTTTGATGATAGTAACGAAAAAGTGCCATAGTTTTTTAAATTTCATCTGAGTCGCTTTCCAGCACTTTGGAATTGAGAGTTGTATGCACCCGGAGTGTGAAGCTCCCGAACTGCTCTAGCAAATGTGCACGGGAACGCGACGATAAAAACATAAGCTGTTTTTTATGTTTTACTTTGACGTTGACAATTGGTATCACACTGCCAAACATTGAAATGTAAACACATTTTGCCTTTATTCTCTGAAGCACTGTCAGATTATCCAATTGATGCCTGATGATGCTTTTAGAATGATGGCGCAACAGACAGAGGTCGGCATTTTCATTGTAAAGCTTCTGTATAAATGTGTCGAATTCATATTTAAGTGTATACATTCAAAATTAGTTTCAAAGTGTCTATATAGTTATAGATGAAGCCCACTATGAGCCTGCATTCTTGCACTCTCTTTTGATCTTTGTTATTCGGGAGCATCTCAAACCTACATTATCAGTTTTTTACCATCATCCATTGTATGGTATCGGTTTAATGTAACAACAAAAAAGATGAAAAAACGTAACCTAACAATCTTGACACATTGTCATTTTCGTTATCCCCACTCCCCACTATTACGGAGCATATAACACCGAATAAAAAGCTGGTGCATGAGGGGGTAGGGAATTTCAAAAATGAGTTGCTCAAGTGCATGACACTCTAGAGAACTGAAACGGTATTGACAGGTGGGGGGTAGCTCCGAGTTACTCCTAGTAACACAAATGAGGCAAGAAAGCGGCTCAGGTGTCGGCAGAGTTGTCATACATTTTTGTAATGGGGTAGAGGCATTTTGCTTCCCAGATTTTCTCTCGACGAGCCTAGTTTGACTATTTCGATTAAAAAGGTACATAAATTTTACTTATCTTACTGAAAGTTTACTAGATAATCATTTCAGAATGTCCTTTTATTGCTGTGCAAGTATCCTAAAAATAAATAATACCTTATAAAGCAAAAAGGTGACAAAGACAAGTGTTAGCGTACAGTGTGTGACTAAATAACTACTGCAACCAGAAAGTGTATTTACAACGAGGAAACATTAAACAGTTTTTGTAATATTGACAACGTGCATGTTCTCAAAGGTGCAGCCACAACGCATGAAGTTCAGGCCAGAAGGAAAGTTTGTTCTTTGTTCATGTCGAGAATGTTTTATGACAATTCAAATTCATTATAAAATGGACAAAAGCCATTAATGCAAAACATCAATAACGCACAGGTCACAAATTAAGATATTGATCAATGTTAATTTTTTTTTACGTCATCAAATGAGCTGTGCGTCATTGATGCTGTACATTAACCACAATTAATGGTTTCTCACTGTTTTTTGGATTGCTTGTCTCAATATTGTATGTAGTTTTTTAATTGATATTGGATTTACATTGTCAAGCAATATTCTTTGTAGTGCGTCCTGATGAAGAAAATAAAATTTTTTGGAAGCTCGTCATAAATAAAAAGAAAGCACGTTCTTTCTCTTCTTCCTCGTGCGTTGTCGTTGCACCTTCTCGAGAACTTGTACTTTGTATCATAACAAATCAGCAAAGGCTACCCTCCTCCTCACTGAATATTTTTTCAGGATTCAATTACTATACTGTGATTAATACGTATTTCTTTCTAACAGATGCTATTGAACAGAATATTAAAAAACCTGTCGAAACACAATATTTAAAACCAAGGGTGTTTGGAATATAAGTGCAGGAACAACTTCACTTCTTGTACATACTATATGATTGATGGGAAAACTTGGGTGAAACACAGAAAATCAAATTTCAGGTGTACAAAAAAAAATAAAAGCTGATTGAGATGTTACTGTATAGAATATTATAAAACCTGTAAAAACACAATATTTAAAATCAGGATTGTTTGTTATATAAGTGCACTAACAACTTCACTTCTTGTACATACAATATGATTGATGGGAAAATTTGGGTGAAACACAGAAAATCAAATTTCAGGTGTACAAAAAAATAAAAGCTGATCGAGATGTTATTGTATAGAATATTAAAAAACCTGTAGAAACAATATTTAAAACCAGGGGTGTTTGAAATATAGGTGCACGAACAACATCACTTCTTGTACTTACTCTTATGACTTGATTGATGGGAAAACAAGGGTGAAACACAGAAAATCAAAATTCAGGTTTATAAAAAAATAAAAGCTGATTGTCAATGAATATCTAACAGGCAAAACTCGGTGAAAACCCACCTTTGCTTTTATTTTTGCAAGGCAAATTCTTTGGTAGGTCCAGACTATTGACGATTTTCTTGACATCTGACACTCTTTCTTTAACCTTCTCTTGATGAGCTGTCAAATGTGCTGTTACGAATAAAAAGGATGTTCCGAATACCATGAAGGAAGTAGCTACCGCACCTTTCGTTTTAAATGCACTGCCTGGACGTACCGACAAACTTGCATCTTCAGGTACTGATACATACCATATCAAATCACGACGGATAAAAGTTACTAAGTGGAGAGTACCTTAAACATTTATAGTATGCCTAGATTAGTTCTAGAAAATATTATCTGAAATATTTTATAATTGAAAGGTTTCCCAGAATGACTAGCAAAACCTGCTGTCAACTGTTCTCCAATCTTCCACTAAATAAATAGTCTTGTAAATAACACTCACTACTAATTTTGAGTTTTCAAGTATAACCATTTTTATATCTTTCTACATTATGGAATCGATTCAATAACCCTAAGATACTCCATCCCAGAGACACAATTCTTTATAATGGACTATAATGGAGATGCAATGAGGAGACATTTACCCTGTTTCGCTTTTTTCAAAAATGTTCAGGCAACAATAATTGTACGCCTCTTCTAGATGAATATGAAAAAATATGATAAATATTCACCTATAAATACCCCTATGACGACATTAACTGTTAATTCCATCATTTTCAGTAGGTTTCGGGATAGCTTCCTAAATGTTGCTTTATACTGCTTAGTTTGTTAGCATAAGCCTGAATTCTTAGACATCGGCATAGAAAGAAGTCCGGGACCATTAAATCTGGAGATCTGGACATCGGCTAATGGGGAGATAAAAAAAGTAAGATCCGATAGCACGCTGCAGGCCCTTAAGGTACTGGCTTTGTAGCCACTAAGATTCGACATCTTAAACGTACAATAAATATGGCTCCAGCAGAATAGAGTAACGTGCCACATTGCTAGAAACACGATGAAACTTGTGCGATAAATGTCTTCAGAGCGTTTGATCCCACCATTAGCAATGTAATCGGGCCCTCAAGAACACAAGTTTAATAGTATCAGAGTTCCTTCTATTGGGATTTCTAAAAAATACTAACGTTTTTCACTAGCATACGCACGTGCATTTCTGGACTTAAGCGATTCTTAAAATGTCGGTATAATGGAACGCCGTAAGACCTAAAAATATTGAGACCTCTGTACCTCGTGGAATCTTCTAAATTGCATTGCTAAAAACTTGAAAAAGTTTATCCATCAAAATTCGACGGTCTCCGTTATAACAATTTTTAGCAAGTAGTGAAGAATGAAAAAAATATACTCAGAGACATTAGAAGTAATACACCCAGAAAACATAATTTATTCAACTTGTTTTTTTTTTGACAACATAATGACTATATGTAAAGCAAGCTGTGGCAACAATGTCAACGGTTTATCTATGTTTTTGTTTACTTTTGTTAAAATGTTATCTCTTAGTTTTTCTGAAGAAAGCAGTTTCTGGGAGCTGGGTAGTACAGATGTTTTAGTTATTGCCCTTTCATTTACTAGTGTTAAGCATAACAAGACGCTTCGAGTTCGAAACCGTCCAAATTATCACAAACAAGGCCAACGGGTCCACCGAGACGTACCACAGAGCATCAAGATAGGCGCTTCTACTACGCGTCAGTCCGATGACCAATTTTTTGGACAAGAAGGTAGACCTGTTACTTTGTGTACACTCTATCGCCGCATTCGAGCCTTTGGACTTTTTTCATACCGTTCATGGTTAGTGCTTCCTCTGACTGCGGGCAACAGTCATCAACGTTTGATCTGGAGCGGAGAACGGCAACATTGTGAGGCAGGGTGCATAATGTCATCTTCAGCGACGATTCGCGATTTCGTCTAGGTACGCACGATGATCGTAGAAGGATTTTGCTGTTGAGAGGCATGTAGACAGTACTGTTGGAGTAATTATTTGAGGGTCTATTGCCTATGGTAGCCGATCACCCCTTCTCTTTGTTCAAGGCAATATGACTGCTGCGCGTTATGTTGATGATGACCTACAAACCACTATACTGCCGTATCTAGAGGGCCGTCCACACGTCCATTTTCAGCAAGACAACGCACGTCCCCATATTGCTCATCGTACTATCTTCAAGAAGCAGGCGTAAATGTTTTGCCGTGGCCACCCCGTTCGCCAGACTTAAATCCCATCGAACATGTGTGGGATATGATGGGGAGGAGACTATCCGCTTTACACCATCCGCCTCAGACTCTGTCACAGATAATCCACGAAGTTCCAGTTGCTTAGAATGAGGTGCCATAACCAGACATCGATCATCTGATTTAATCGATGCCTTGACGTATACAGGATTGTATTCAGCTGCGGAATCGCACAACACAATTTTTTTGTTATTACTTGTCAATACATTTTCGTGAGAATGTTCGTGTTATTCTCGATGTAAGACTAGCTCATTGCCAAAAAATCAAGTGGAATAAATTATTTTTTCTGGGTGTAACACTTCTAATGTCACTAAGTATATATGAAGAGAAACATGGTGGAGTGGCAATATTTCTAGGCCATAAAATAGATGATCAAAAAATAATATGAACAGTGAAACATGGGTCCAAAAATGCCCCTTACCAGGATGTGAAGTTATGATTTCCAAATCGAAAAAATACCTTCGGATCACCTGAATGACAGATACGCAAAATATGTAAAAATGCACATAATAAGTTCCAAGAGGTGCATGGGCAGCAGCATCGTCAGTCGTTCCTACAATTGTAGGGCGCCTTTATGGCCTCTATGATTTTTAAAGTCTTTTCTCTCATTCAGAAAGGCTGAAATATTTCTAGATTTTTTACAGTTCCGTGTCAGCGTCAGCACTCTCCTATTGTGAGGCTATGTTTTCATTTTGAATTGAAGGAAATACCAGGCTCTTATAACAGATGATATAAATCAAAAACATGAACAATTTGATGCAAATAGATATTTGTAACATAACCTCAAAATAGAGCCCTGACACGGAACAGTACAAAACTATCAAAATCGACGAAGCCATAAAGGCATCCTTCAATTGTAGAAACGACTGACGATACGGCCCTAAAACTGGTCCTGTTCCAAATATGGTATGATAACATTTTTGGGCCAGCGCATAATCAAATTTTGCATCTGGAATAAAATGCAATCGATACAGATAATGCATCTTTACTATAAAAAAGAAAACCAAATAACGGTGATCTATTGGCAATAAAAATAGGAGCCAATTACACTCTAGCAGATAGACCTAAAAAGGTTGTAACGATAAAACAAGTGATGTGACAGCAACAGACGTGAATGACCAATGAAGCACCTACAGATCAGCACAGTGTTGTCTGTTTGCCTTCAGTTCGCTTGAAATATCGAGGATCTCCAAGCAGTATTGATTTGAGATCGTCGATATCATTTTGGACCTTACCTGTATGTTTTCTGGATTTCATCCACAAAGATGCCGCGAAAGTACCGTCATTCTAGGTGATTTGCGCATCGTGCGCAGTGCACCAATATACAGGGTGACTTTGAAGTTGAGTCATTAATTTTCAGATAATGATTGTAGAAGGAAGATAAACCAAAATATGTGTGTAAAAATAAAAAAAAAATTTACCTTGTTTTATAAAGTATCCGCCCGACAAGTATTTCAGTGCGGACCTGTATTTGATCGTGAGGTCTTGGAGCACCGGCATGCCGTTACCTGATTCACGAGCCCGTTGTACTACATTAACAAAGGCACGAGGGGTTGGTTGCACTCGATTGGGAAACCGATCCGCATAAACATGTGCCATTTTTTATTTCGTCTGAGCCACGCAACAGACACCACTATTCACTGACACTGACTGTATACAAATGAATAAAATAATTGTAAAAACATCGTTCCAAATTCTTTCGCTTTTTTGTTTCCGATGCGATGAACCGATACGGCGGATTATATCCGTTGTCGCCAAACACGAGCACATAATATTATTATTGAGACAGTGCGGTACTCAAACTTCCAAAGGGCTATAACTTTGTTACTTTAATTTTACCAGAAAAATGTTAAAGGAAAAAAACATTTCTTTTGATCAGATCTACTCACTGTTAAAATAAAGGACTCAACTTCGAAGTCGAAGTATATTGCAATATTTTCGCAGGTGTGCACCAAATGTCAGAGTAAAATTCACTAAAGTTCCCAGTAGAGCACACTGCGAAGAAACGAGTGGAAAACGCTATAAATTTTATGCCAACAAACCAAGCAGTATAGAGCCGCTGAAGAGCAATATTTTGAAAGCTATTCAAAATATTCCTCCCAAAATCGAACGAGAAGTGATGGAAAACGTAATCTACAAGGCTCATGTTTATGCGGCTTCCATAGGATACTCCCAGCTTTCAATAAAGGACTTTGCTACAACTGAACCTGCTTAATTTCAGTCTGGAGATAATAGAGGAATAAATCAATCAGTTATATATTGAACTATTTTTGAACTTCTTTGGGAAATTGGTTTGTATTTAGGGGTATATTTTGTATCTTGGGTGTGAACAAACTTTATCAAGATTCCAAAAAGTAGGTCTACATAATACTACCGCAATATTATTCAACGTGAGCATCATAGATGGTGTAGATGTAGAACATTGGTTTACTGGTTAGGTGTTGCATATAAAAGACGGTATATACGAGGTCTGTAAATTAAGTGATGAGACTAAGTTTTATTCACTTTTTTATTCAAATATAATTAAAATTTCACATTGTCGCCCTCAAAATAACTAATACTGGAATAGCCTTCAGCTGGTGGGTTACAGCCATTTGAATGTTTTCGACTGTCCCAAAATTAGTTCCCCTTGAGGGAAGTTTTCAACCTCGGAATATAAAAAAGTTATAAGTACTCAAGTCGGGCGAGTCAGGAGGCTGAAGAGCCACAGGAATGTTTTTTATATACCGAAACAGCCGCGCAGACAGAAGCCTAAATGCCAGGACAGGGGTGAAGATCCCAAAGAAATTTTGTTAATGCGATTTTTGAACTGCCTAAGTTAGGTGAACTGGGAAAAAAAGCTTCCTCTTGTAGATTGTTTCGCAATCTTGACACCCTCGGGACAAAAAGGCCTCATAAAGCTTTGATCATCAAGTAAACTTTTAATAGGTACAAAATGTCAGTAATCTAGTGTACTTCTACCGCATGTGTCAGATGAGATATACTATATACAGCATTTCGGTTTTCACTGTCAATAATGATAAATATACTAAGTGACATATAAATCCGCACACCCAGTTTAAATGGTTTTATTTTAATAAAATTTTGTATAAGTACTTAATGAAGCATAATAAGTAAATGATAAAAATTTCAAAATAATTGCACTGATTTAAAGCCCTTTGACCTTTAATAATGTGTGGATGCACCCTGATGTGCTACGCATTCTCCAACGCGCCTAGGCATGCTTCTGATCAGGTGGTCAATGTCCTCCTGTGATATCTCATTCCAGGCAACCACCAACTCCTCTCGAAGTGCTTCTAGAGTCTGAGGAGGACGTTGCAAATTGAGCAATCTCCTACCCATCATATCCCACACGTGCTCAATTGGGGATAAGTCGGGAGATCTTGGTGGCCATGGTAACAATGTGACATCATTATGTTGAAAGAAGTCTATTGTGACTCTTGCAACATGTGGTCGGGCATTATCTTGTTGGAAAGTTGGATCTGCCAGGGTGTCAAGATAGGGTAAAAGATGGGGTTCTAGAACTTCGTGGATATAACGCTGCGCGTTCATGTTACCTCTGATGAAGATTAAAGGTGACCTGGAACCATAAGCTATAGCACCCCAAACCATAACTCCAACAGTGTGATGAACATGTCTTCCAACAAAAAACTGTGGATTCCTCCTTTCACCACGTCGCCTTCTAACCCTGGCACGACCATCGTGCATGCCTAAACAAAATCGAGACTCGTCACTAAAGACAATACTGTTCCATTCCTGATCCCAGAGTGACCGTTGTCTGCACCACTCAAGGCGATTACGTCGGTGTTCTCGAGTTAAAGGGAGAACCCAGTGTGTCCGGTATGAAAACAAGCCAAAACTTCTCATTCGTCGGTAAACACTTCGCATGCCAATAGGTCTTCCGTGTTCTGCAAACCATTCATTTGCAATGGACCTGGTAGAGGAGAAACGGTCCCTTTAGGCCAATAATCTTAGGCGGCGATTTTCACGGTCTGTTGTTCTACGGCGGCGTCCAGTGCCCCTTGCTCTTTGCGTACGGCCTTCTCGAAGCCATGCCTGACAACACCTAACCACAGTGTCTACACTTCTTTGCACTCTAACTGCAATTGCCCGAAAAGAAAGTCCAGCTTCCCGAAGTCCCACTATACGGCCCCTATCAAACTCACTAAGTTGACGAAATCGTACAGGTCTCCGTACTCTAGGCATCATAACCGATCGTAAAGGATGTCAAGAACCAAAATCCGCCAACGGTGATTCTTTACTGCGGCTGAAATATTCATTTTTAGAGCGTTAGTGAATTAAAAAAAGCAGTATAAAAACCGGAATGTCCAACTGATAAGGCTGAAAATTTTTTCACTTGTTATTTACAGTAAGATAAATACATTCACCAACTTTTATTAAAATAAAACCATTTAAACTGGGTGTTCGGATTTATATGTCACTTAGTATAGTTTATTTTGTTTTCATATTCATTATGTCACAAGTCTATATGAATGCATGCATATTTGACAAGGTCCGAAAATATTTTTAATTGTCAGCTTTAATACTATCAAAAAAAAAATACTTTAAACGTGATGTAAATACCATTAGCTAAACAATTACAATAGTGCTTTATTAAAAATAACCTTCATTCTTCATTGCCATCAGTATCCGAACCACAGAAAAGCCTAGGATCTTGACAAAACACTTTCTCCGTATGCCTGTTTAGCAAGAGTTTCCGTTGCACTGTGCCCAAGTCTGAAGCAACACCTGATAGCACACCGTTGTTCAAAGTTGATGTGTCACTCATTTTTACAACACAATAGGAAATACTGTCTCAAAAAAAATCGCTACGGAAAACCAAATACTCGAGCGCGTGCAAACTTGCACTGAGGGCGGATCACCCTGTTACCCCACCGAGTGTTGCCAGATCGAACGCTACGTTACCAATCTCACTCCTTAATTTACAGACCTCGAATGAAGTTTCGTCGCTGTTGCTAAGTACATTTTTTATAATGTTTGAGCTAAGAAATATGTTAGATTTCAATGTGTAATAAAAAATTCTCTAGCAGATTTACCAATTAGTAGAATGTATGATTGGATAGTTACCTAGTGAAGCTGAATGGAATAAAATGTGCGAAGGACCGATTGTCTCTTGTAAACTCACTTCCCAGTCATATCTTTCTGAGGTAGATTCTTGGGTACCAAATGAAAGAATATCTGGAACATGCTCCATACTGACCGGTAAAACAAAATCATTCAATTCCCTAAAATCAGAAGATAATTTAGTTGAAAATAAACTATAAAAAGTACACGTTTGAGGTAAATACAGTAAGCATGTCGATTCGCACCGAGGCCTTCTATACCAGGGTGTCTAGAATTTAAAATAAAAAAATAGTAATAAACTGTTTTACATTGGATTATGTTATTCGTGGTCCGAAGTGCGTATTTTTATCAGCTTTTCAGTGGTCAGCATCCTAATCATGACTGTCAAAAATCAATGGACCTATTCTAACTGTTGTATATAATGCAAAAATAGATGTACTCTTGGAGATTATTTTTTACATGGTTATTATAAGAAAATCTGGTACCTCCTCTAATACGACATTAAACTAAGTCTAAAGAAAGATAATGAGCCCAATTTGATGTTTTTTTGTAATAACAAATTAACTGTTACAGCAAATAGACCGTGTAGTCTCATTCTGAAGGTATTTTCATCACTTACAGCTCTTTTTGGACCACTAAGACCAATAATCCATAACTGTTCGAATATGCGCGGAAAAGTATTTTTTTCATTTCTTACGCTTAATAAAAAAGTTTGCGCAAAATTTTTTATATCTCTCGATGAGGAGCCTTTTCATATATCCTTAAGGATATACTTTCGATGTAAAACAGCTTATTAATTTTTTTTTCTAAAACGAATGTCTAATAAAGCTTACAAACGCTCTTTCACGTACAATGCGTTGAAGTTGATTAATTCATTTGACTAAAACTGTATTAGCAACTTTAAAAAAAACTATAAGATCTGTTTATTAAATGCTTAATTGTTTTTATTTTTTTTTTTTCTCTCTCTATCGTTTTAATTATATGTTCGTCTTATGTCTCTTCCTGATGCGCAGGACTGGCACAAAGGCCGACTAAACCCTATTTCACGAGTATCAATCACGGTAAAATGACAGTTGATTATCTAGTATTGTCTCAAAATTCCCCATATCAGCACAGGACACATAATCCATCAACGTCAGGTAGTCAGCCGTAGTTTGTTTTGTTGTTTTGTACGCTACAGATTCATTTTGCACTTGCTAACGGCTGCTTTATTTAGAAAAGTTCATTTGCATACAAAAAACAAAATGCTACAAACAAGTTTTACTAGATTTATACCCGGTTCATTATTGCCAACGTCGCAGACTAACACAAAAATGTCACTTGCTGATCAGCTGTTCACTTCAGTAGACGTCAACGCGTGATGGATACTTGTGAAATAGGGTATACATCATTTCCTTTAGGTAACGTTTTAGGTTAAGGTAGGTAACGACATGGTTACCTATTGGCCAGACTTCGCCATAATTGTAGTACTGTATGTATTTGTTAAAATGAATTCGACTGAATTTAATTGAATGTATTATTAGGAACAGCAAACGATTTAACAACAATACAACTTTAAGACTGTTATACTACTTACTGGTTCTAAATTACCATATAGCAGTATTATTATAGTCAACTATTTATAATATACTCTGTCCCTAAAGCAGAATTTTCTAAAATGCATTTATTTGAAAACAACCGGGAGTTATCCCATACAGTAATATAATCAGAGACAACTTTTAGGAATCATTCCTTAAAATAATAATATTTTTATGTAAGATAAGTGTCTATAGTCGATTTTCCACAAAAGCAATGAAAAACGTTCCAGTGAAAAAAGCGTCAATAGTCACAAACACGAGTCTCATGTATATGCACTATAAAGCCTATTTTTACACAGAAAAACATTTAAAAGGCGTAGGGTAAGACGTCTTACTGACCAAAGGCGTTAACCTCATTTACAGATAAGTCGTAACTGGCATGTCTGATATTTCAAATAGTAAGTAGTAGTAAATATGTGAGACACTGTTGAGTATATATTATTCTCTAATTATCGATTCGCGCCTTTGGATACGCTCGCCAATTAACTACCTCACAGTGTAGATGAGATGCGTCATGGGAGGAACGTCCACATATCTGTGGAGCTATTATTCGAACTACATTGTCCAAACTTGATGCAACTTAGAGGAAAATAATTCGACTAATTCGTGGCACCTCCTCAACTGCAAGTGCAAGTGGTTGGTACTACCAGTCCTCTGATGACAAAAATGTGAAACAAACTGCCAGAAGAAGCTTTCCCCAGTTCTTCAAAGGCAGTTCAAAACTCGATAGCAGATATCTAAACTTCTTAAAGCAAATACCTGGGAATTTTAAAAAATGGCATAGCTTCCCTGGGAACGACATTTTGATAATAATTCTTGGGCCTCCATTCAAGATAATCATAAAAAGTATGGAAATATTTTTCTAATGAAGAAGCCATTTCTATAAAACTAAAAATATACAAAAAGACTTATGAGAAGAACTTACTTTGGTGGGGAGTGACCATTCATATTCCAGGTACCAACAAATATGGTCAGCTCCCTATTGGGACATGTTCTGTCTAATTCATTTGCACCTAGGAGAGAATTAGCTGCTACTTTACCCTGTAGAAAGTTTCTCTGTCTAGCTTTCATTGTTGGAATATGATACAAGGAAGTAGATACTGAAAATAAGTACACGCGATTATTTATGTCAACTCAAGTGTCAAGTACAATACCTTCCTTGAAAATACTTTCATGTGAAGTACTCCTTTCTTCTAATTTATTGTCTACATTATAAGAACTATCAGCATTTGCTGAATCACATAAATTACTATCAGAGAGACTGTTTTTCCTATCTAGATTCTGCAAAATACCATAACATGAAACACGAACACTACAGTTTTGTCATTCACCACACCAATTTTACATCCCACCCACCATCTTGAGGAGAAAAATTAAATCTGAAGAGGTACAAACACCAAAGCCATAAATTCCTCATCAATCTTTGGTCATCAAGCAAGCTTTTAATAGGTGCATAATGTCATTAATCCAATGTACTTCTTCAACCTAGTGCATGTGTCAAATGAGATATATATACAGCATTTGGGTTTTCACTGTCAACAATGATAAATACCATATTTTGTTTTCATATTCACTATGTCACAAGACTATACGATACGCGATGCATATTTGACAGGGTGAGAAAATATTTTGATTTTGTCAGCTTTAATACTTTCAAAAAAATGCTTTAAGCATGATGTAAATACCATTAGCTAAACAATTGCAAAATGACCAGTCTTCACTTCCATCAGTATCAGAACAAAAGGGTAGCTATTGTGTTGGGAAACTAGAAAGTTTTTTGGCAACAGGTCATAGTCGTTGCTTTCATTGTTTATAACGTATTTTATTGTAAAGAAATCACAGAGTATAAAGTTGGAAAAAAAAGAGTAGAGAAAACAATTTTCATGGTGGTCACAAAAACGTATATGAAGTAAAAAAAAAATAGGATAGATTATTTTATTTTTGTATGTGATTCATGACTTTTGTATTTAGGAATCATTATTTTTTTACAGTTGCAGTAATGTAGCGTTGAAGCTCACAAAGATAATTTTATCAGGGTAAATACGAGGGATGTCTTTTAAGTTTTGCATATAGAAACATAGTAGGCCGCGCGGATCGAACGTCAGTACTGAGTCTTAACCTCACTCTTTAGTAAACTTAAATTCAAAGTTTCACAACAATACGTGCAGTGTTATCACTACAGTGAATTTTTAAGTGTCACCAAGTCATTAGAAAAATGGAACTTAACCGAGAACATTTTTCGCCATAATTTATTACAACTTTCAGAGTGATATTATCGCAACAAGAATGCCTTGCTGAGTTACTGTCTGTTTTCGGCAACGAAGCGCCACATCAGTCGACAATTTCCCGATGGTATGGAGAATTCAAACGTGGACGGGTGAGTCTTAGCGACGATCCCAGGGTGGGTGCACCAAAAACGGCAGTCACCCAGGAAAACATCGATGCTGTGCGCAAACTCATCATTGAAGATAGACATGTGACATATCGCGAGATTGAGGCGTCCTTGAAGATCTCAAAGACCTCAATTCAAAAAATTTCACTTGAAGAATTAGGAGTAAGATATTGCAACAATTCCTCTTAATGAGCAAAGAACTGTAACTGCGGATTGGTATACCACCATTTGTTTGCCCAAAGTCATCACCGCGCTTCGAAAAATCAACCCCGAAAGAAGAATCATCCTCCACCAAGACAATGCAAGCTCGCCCAAAAAACAAGGCAGTATTTAACAGAAGAAAACGTGAAATTATTGGACCATCCTCCATATAGTCCGGATCTAAGTCCTAACGATTTCTTTACTTTCCCGAAAATTAAAAACAGACTGCGTGGTCAAAGGTTCCAGTCACCAGAAGAAGCAGTTGACGCATTCAAAAATGCCGTTTTGGATCTACCAGCAAAGGAGTGGAATAAGTGCTTCGAAAATTGGTTCAAGCGCATGCAGATCTGTATTAATCTTCGTGGAGAATACTTCGAAAAACAATAAAGTCATTTAAAACTACATACCGTGTTGTTTTATTTCCATATGCATAACTTAAAAGACATCCCTCATACTGGAACTAGTGGCAGTATGTGTGCAACTGACTTATCCGTGGTTTCAGTAGGCTGAAACGCGCTAATCTCAAGTAATCATTTCTTAATTTGTTTAGCATTGATCAAGATCAAATCGCGAAATCGTTAAATTTATACAAAAATATGCAATTTGAGTGCGTGTGATACAAGTTTCAGGAACCACTGAAAATATTAATATTTTTACGCATTTATACAAATTTTTAGTGTCTATTCTTAAAAATATGTTATAATGTGTATTTAGCAATACAAAGAGTATTTGTATATTACTGTACCAGTTAAATATATTACACAAATTTATTGATATTTGTAGTGAATTTTGGGGATAGAGCACCCCAGAGAAGTATATATTTTGTTAATTTTCAAGCATCTTATGCCTAAATCTTAATGGTTTACTTATCATATGCTCCAAATAAAACATGGTGTTTTACATTATCTGGATGGTTTATTTTTACAGTACGTCAATTTGCTCAAAATTTTTTTGGAAGAGGTTTGAAATCCCAAATACCATATATTCACCCATATCTAGATTATACAGGGTCCGGCAAAATGATCTCCCACATTTTGCACTGCCACTGTGCCCGAATCTCTGAAAAGAGAGGGAACTCAGCATAGACAGTTGATAGCTCGCGTCTTGCCATATCATGTCTTCGTTTTCGAAGCATTTATTAAAAGTAAGAATCTGTGATTACCACTCAAATAATTTTTCACCCTTGGTACACATGCTCCAGTTCCATATCGTAAGACAATACTGTTAGGGTCTCAAATTTTTGAGCTACAGGGTCGGCCTTGAAAAGATAAACAACTGGTCGACCCAGGGACGCGTGACGGCCACCATAACTGCCGATCGATATGGCGACAGGCTACACACTTTTTTGAAACCAAAACTTCGAGAACTTCGACATCCAAATGTGTGGTTTCAACAGGATGTTTCAAGGGAAACGTTTCGAGAACGCGTAATCTCGTTACGTGGAGACGTCTGGTGGGCTGCGTATTGACCTAATCTTGCCCCATGCGAGTTTTTCCTTTGGGTATACCTGAAAGCAAAGGTTTTTCAACACCATCCCAGGACCACTGACGAAAAGCAAGTAGACATATACCAAGAAATTACAGGAATATCACCTCAAATTGCTGCTCGAGTGATGGAAACTTGGACACTGTAATTTTCAAAACTTAATAAAAACAAATGGCATAGCGTACATTTTCAGTTAATAAAAATAAAATCTAAATAACTTTTAAAATGGCATTTTTATTGAAGTTTAAAATGTGGGAGATCATTTTGCAGGACCCTGTATTTTTATCGTACATGCTGCTAAGTGAGAATGTTGGGACTTTAATCACATTATCAGGCTAACCCTTTGTCATATGATAAAATGTCTTACACAAAAACTGCAGAAAACTGAAAAAAGGACCAGAATTTCATTCAAAAACTGAAGAAGTGGCACTGATGAGAGCAATACTGAATCAGAAAATTTTTAGCATATTTCTTAAGAAACCATCTGAGAATAAACAACTATTAGTAGGTACTACTTAAATAACTGGGATTACTGCTACTGATTCAACAAAATGAGACTACTATCAGTAACACCATTGAATATCATGAGATGGAATCAATCGAAAATTACTAAAAAGTTGTATACGTAGTCATGCCATAAGTTCTGTCCCTCGTTTTCAAACAAGTGTAGACCTGTTAATACTTGTCCGATTGTTTACATTGTGGTGTCAGTTGATTAAGCGCTTTTCGGGTAATTACATATACCTCAGTTTGTATTGATCTCTCGAAGCATAACGATGGAGTGGGGCAAGGCAGAGAACCATATTGCAGTGATAGCTTTACATAAGTGTAATCACAGTGCTAGTCAGATTTTTGAACTCTTACGCGGCCTTCAAATATCGCGTAAATTTGTGTCTAGGACCATTCAGCGGTACAATGAGACGTCCTCTGTTGATGACAGGCCAAGAAGCGGAAGACCTCGTCAAGTAAGGACTCCAGCAGCCATCAAAGCCGTAAAAGCCAGGATTCAAAGGAATCCACTCCGGAAGCAGAAGATCCTATCCAGGGAAATGAAGATTCCTGTCCGGACGATGTCGCGCATCATTAAACAAGACCTAGGGCTAGGGGCTTACCGGAGACGTACGGGCCAGCGACTTACGGCCACCTTGCGACACATCAGGGCGACAAGATCCAAGAAGCTCTTGGAGAGGTACGCAGCTGGGAGATTCCGAAAGATTTTGTTCACGGATGAGAAAATCTTCACCATAGAAGAAAAATTCAACCGACAAAATGACAAAGTGTATGCAAGGAGTTCACAGGAAGCTTCGGAGATCATTCCGAGAGTTGAGAGAGGCCACCACCCTGCGTCAGTCATGGTTTGGTGGGGGGTGTCCTACGAAGGGGTCACTCAGCTCCATTTCTGTAAACAGGGCGTGAAAACAAAAGCGGCAAACTATCAGAGCGACATACTGGATCCTATCGTCAAGCCTTTAAGTGGTACATTGTTTGCCAACCAACACTGGGTCTACCAGCAGGATTCCGCCCCCGCTCACAAGGCTAAGAGTACGCAGCGCTGGCTGGAAAGCAATGTGCCAGAGTTCATTGCTGCGGAAGATTGGCCCTCAGGGAGTCCGGACCTCAATCCTTTAGACTACAAGTTGTGGGACCTGCTAGAGCAGTTGGCCTGCTCCAAAGCCCACCGTAATATCGAGTCCCTGAAAGCGGATTTGATCCGATCAGCGGCAGCTATTCCTTTGGAAGCTGTGCGTGCAGTGATAGATGAGTGGCCCGCGAGATTGAAGCAGTGTGTGAAGGCCAAGGGGGGACATTTTGAATAAAACTGTTTGATTATGAATTCTAAAAATGTTGTCGAATAAATAATATCTTTCATATAAATATATCTTATCTTGTTTCATTTTTATCATGAGATTATCATGGGACAGAACTTATGGCACGACTACGTAAATGACTGATGAGCTAAATTTTAGCAACATATAAAAATACTTACATTTGGAACATTTAAATTATATTGGCCATTAGCATTCACATTATGCATGTTTTTATTTTTCACCTCAAAGCTCAATGGCCTTTTGGAGATAGCAATATTTGTATTTGCCTCCACAGATGTCAGATATCTTGTATTCTGGTCTCGAGCACTTTGACTTCTACCTATTGCTGCTACCCCCACTTTATTGGGGATTTTACTGGGGAGTAAAAAACTGCTAAATCCGGTCTTCTTTACCAATTTACCCTTATGATCCATTTTAATAAGTAAGGAAGGTTATTGATTTTTCTAATATTAGAACTCGATTCTATCACATTATTTTAGGACTAGAATAGATCAACGGACTTCTGCACTTATATATATGAATCACCTACATTACAGATTCACTATTTTTCATTATAAAATGTATTAATACTTTTTGTTCAAAGAGTGATTTAAGTTGAAAAAATATTTATTTTTAAATCCATTATTGTGGTTATGTTTGTATTGTCAACGTCATCCGTGTGCTATAGAAAAAAATTCCACAAAAAAGATATAAGGGTCTTTGACAGATTGATGTGGAGCAAGCCAATTAACAAAACAATTCTTGTTCACCTGACCATAAGCCACGCCCTATAGTAATTTCACCAGTAGTGGCATAGAGCCGGACTGTAAAAATTGAAGAGAAGTCTTACTAAAGATTTCTTTTCTGCTGTTCAATCACCAGAGTTACTTTCCACTCCATATTTTCCATAATACAAGAAAATCTCGTTTATTCATATACAGTGAAAACCATACACCACCGACGTCGAAATGTGTACGAGAAAGAAGCCCGAGAAGCGTGCAATGCGTGTGTTCGTCATCGGCGCACTCTTTCTACCATACATATTGGACACTTCTCGCGCTTCTCTCTCGTACACATTACGACATCAGCTAAATTTGAACCTCACCGTATAGCATATAATTGCCTACCGCGCCATCTATCAGATACTAACCTTTTCAAAGTCTATCTCTAAATATTGGGGAGACGTGAAACATGTAACTGAGACAAATTCTCATAGATGACGATGACGCAAATAAAAATAAAATAATAAAAGACTATGCTTTATGAAAACCGAAGTTATTCGTAAAGCCTATAAGATGGCGCCTAGCTAACTAGATTTTATGGCCCCATGCTTGGGGTTACACGATTTAGTCTAATATTTAAAGAGCATTAGTTTGAAATTCAGATGTTTCCTAACTCAAATACCTGCGATTTCCACCTTTAAATATATACTTCTGTTTTCGCTGCCTGGTTTATGCAGTTTGCCGTCTTAATAAATTCATCATACCGATTATAGCCTCTTCCTAATTCCGAGAAGCCGACCCTGTGCTCTAGCAGTTGGGACAGTGGACTCACAGGTGAACGAAAGCCACGTTGCCAGATTTTCACGGAGAATTTCTTAGATCGTGCTGGTATACAGCACGTTACCCACAAATGTTACCACTAGCACAACACAATTGCAGCAACATAGGAACGACAACTCTGGCTGAGTTAATACTCTCATATGATGTGTGATTTAGTAAAGAGAGGAACGCGGTAAGTTGTAACTCAAGTCTCGACGCTATATTAGAGGTATAATTAACAGGCCAATGAAGCAGAGCTTACACTTAAAACTCGCTATGATGCTTTAATCGTGTAGTACTACAGATAAGTATGTGGCTGATATAGAAAAACAGGTCTGATGTTAAAATTGTACATACCTGTTTTGAAGAATGGGATAATTACTGCCCTCTCAAACGATATGTTTGTGTTGAGTTGTTTTCACTATACAAATATTACAGAACAATTTTACATCATAATAATGAAGTTTACAACTCAATTTACAAATAGTTTAAAATATCTAGCTACCTCTGGTGTCAATCTAACAAACTCTTTGCTCAAACTATAACGAATTCAACAGATCGTCGATTTGGTTTGGACTGCTTCATCCACGGAGAGTAAAATACAAAAATGTTATCTCTTCGTTAACATTAGGGCCGCTTTATGTCGATTATTGCACGAGATATACATGAAAGAAAACTGCACGATGAGAGCTATAATCATAATTACTTCTAAGTCATTCTAAAATATCTCGAAATACAAAGTCCAGTTGTCAAACTGACAATGATATTGACCTCGATACACATACACTGAAGATAGGTCTCCCTGACTTTGTTTGGTATATGGGCAACCAGACCTGACAGACCTATACTGACTTACAAGACTTTAACCAAGAGCAAAGGTCCTACGGACCGCTCTGTCAGACAATGACGAATAGAAAAAACTGAAGATAGGATGTGTCGCATGTGAGCGGAGCTTCGTGACGTCACCCAGAGAGTTGTCGGCTCGTGGTTACCAGTGACAGGATTGTCGTAATGTTACTGCAGTGCACGTGTATCGTGGTTAATACTGTATAGTGCGATTTGTTGGTGATTTTTTGTGCGTTTGTGATTTGTTGTATTAGTTATACATACGTTATATACCCTGTGATGTTGGCAAATTGATAAAAATGCGGTGTGCTGTTGTGGGATGTAGTTCCGACAACCAATCTAAACGAAATCCTTGCAAAGACATGAAGTTCCACAGTTTTCCTCAAGATCCAAACCTGAGCAAAGCATGGCAACATCATACAAAAAGAAAAATCAAAGTCAATGTAAAAAGCGCTAGTGTTTGCTTGAAGCACTTTTGTGAAAGTGCCATAAGGTCAATTTGAAACATACCCTTTTGGGTTACACCCCTAAAAGATATCGTGCTCTAAAAGATGATGTCATTCTTATGGAAAATTTACCCAAGTCTCTATCATCACCTGAACCATCTACATCCGTTGATGGGGAATAGCGGGAAAGTGCTTACCAAAAAAGGCAAATTGCTCAACTTATCCCCTAGAGGTTTAGTACAGAATGGTCATATATCTTGGGGCGAAACGAAGGCGCATACTCAGCGTAGAGGAAGAGGATACTCCGAACATTCCACTAACCGCATCATTAACGAATAAACTGAAAGCACCTGAAGTATCAGCTGACTATAACGAGGAAGTTTTAGTGGAAGAAATAGATGAGGTCGAGTATGATGGGCTGAAAAATTTGACCGGCTTTGTTTGCCATAAATTGCAGGAAGAGATGTTGAAGAATTCCTCAAATAAAACTTATTCGTGGATAGACCTTAGTGAGCGTGGATTATCAAAAACTTCCACAGCTTTCATGAATCAAATTGAGAAGCTGAACAAGAACATTCAATGGGAACGGAATAGTGACAGAGAAGCAAAATTTTATAGGCGAACTTCTGTTGAAGAGTACCAACATTGACTGCCCTGAAAAAGCTAAGAAACTGTTTTTCAGGTCAAGGATGTTCTTCCGGAACATAGAACTGAAAAGCAGCTTGAAAGAAAAGAAAAATCGTAAAAGGAAATGGAGAATAATTGTGGCTTAGACTAAGTCATTTCCATTTATTGTTATACCGCCAGCCTACTGTAAAAAGATGATAATTCCATTTTTCTACTTTTCGAGTTGCGTACATTCTCACACTTGCATGTAGTTAGTACTTATAATGTTCTGTGAAATAAGGATGTATAAATGTAGTGCAGTATTAACGTCATGAGCATGTTAATCCTGCTTCACAGAAAATACTAAAATATAGGTAATATACACGCTCTGTTGTGGAGCTAGAAAGCTGTTTAAGCTATAACCTGTGAGATAGGAATTACAAGGTTGAAATCTTTTATTTAAAGGTGCCATTTTGTTTTGTATAAAATTTCACTTCAGATTGTGTCACTCGCACTGCTAAGGCGAATCCAACAACACCTCATATGTGAGAATCTATCAAGCCGTTTGGCATGTAGGTGAAAATTTGCACGTTATCCATATCAACCCAAATGATAATCACTCTCAGCGTGACGTCATGCGCGCCGGTGGACGAAAATCGAACAGAGGAGCATCCAGCACTGGATATTGACAGACAAATGTCACTATTATTTACCTAGCTGTTTTTTATCTTCATTATTTAAGAAATACGATATATGCTACTGTTCGATAAGGTATTGTGGTTAATAACAGTGATTTATCGGGTTAGTTGTGAAAAATTAGTATTTATACATTTAGCGCCATATTGTCAGTCGTTCCTACAATTATATGACGCCTTAATGGCTTCCTTGATTTTCAAAATTTTCTACTGTTCCGTGTCAGCGCTCTAATTTGAGGTTATGTCCATATCTATTAGCATTAAATTATTCATATCATCTGGTAAACAGATGGAATCGAGAAATACCCAGCCTTTCTGAAGGAGAGAAAATATTAAGACGATCAAGAAGGCAATAAAAGCGTCCAAGAGAGCGTGCGGTAACAAACCAATTGTTACTGCTAAAAAAATATACTATACGTATACAATATGTAGACATACATACCCATGCCACAATACAAACGTACGTACGTATAAAAGTCTGAGAATCATGACAATCGTGTATATTTTGACAACGTCGCTTCGCACCTAACAATCGCGGGCGGTCTTTCAAAACAAACCAGAATCGGAATACCTTCAGTTTTCTTCAGTTCGTGGTCGGTGACTTGCGGGTAGTTGTTTTGCCTCCGTTTTCCTGATGTTCTTATTTACGTTTTTCATCTAGATTCGGTCGGCTATATCTTGTTTATAAACATTTGCGGGCGTAAAAAACTTAGTGCCTTATTTTTTGGATTACGCTTATTGAGTCACTGCCTCATTTACTAAGGTAAGCAATAATAATATGAGAAGACAAAAGTACCTTCCCAGTACTAACCTCACAAAGGTTTAACGGTACCTCCACGACTCCATGCAAGTTATAGATTAGATGCTGAACTTTGTCAATTTAGAAGTTTAGAAGATTCTCTACGTCAAAAACAAAACCTCTGTAGTAAATTTTATTTTCAAAAAAGTGAACTGGATCCGGATTCCTTATCCTGACCCTTGCTGATATTATAAAGCCTATCCAAAATACCCCCTTCCCTTTCATATAAATTATTAGAACTTGTACCTATTCTTTTAATCCCACAGTCCTTCCAGGTACATCTGCTGCAGGTATGGAAAAGAGACAAAACCTGAAGAGCTTGAAAGATATTAGGTATTTCAATCAGTTTAGAATCATAAACTTTGTAGAACAATCATTTGTTTTGTTTTTCCCAAATAATTTTTCTATAATTAGCCGTGATGGATCTAATTCTACGCAATCGAAAGTTGATAGGAGTGGAAAATTCGAGCATGTTAGTAATATCGGTTGCTTAGTAACCCCAAACAAACAAGCAGTTGTCAACCTAGAATGTCTTCGACTTTAGTACTGTTAGTCCAAGGGCAGATTTAGGATTTCGTCTAGGGGGGGGGGGGGGGTAATGAGGTTTTATGACATAAATTTTTATTTTACGTATTAACACGTTTCCGCTTTCATCTTGATTTCTGTGATACCTTTTCTTGAAAATTACCCTCCATTTTTTGGAATGATTCGATAAAGTTTCAAAATCTCAAGTCGGAAGCTATGAAATTGAGTATTTTATCACCTGTAGAGGCAGAAAGAAGATATAAAAATTATGGGATGATCATGTTTTCATCTTTTCAGTCATAAATTTATCAAGTGCAGAATTGCATTTTACAATTCGGCTCTTGCATCTAAATCTCGGGCCTGTTGAATACAAACAATTTTCTGAACTATAAATTAATCAAATATTGATATTGTCTAACTTGGTATGACGTGTTAGAGCCGGCACAGCGACATGTGTATATGGTGAGATTCAAATTTGTCTTTCGTCGTAATGTGTACCAGAGAGAAGCCCGATAAGTACTTATGCGATTTGTATGTTAGAAAGAGTGCGTTGATGACTTCCGTGACCTCATACTCGGGTTGCTGGCCAACGAGGTGCTTCTATCTCTTTCTAACACACGCATTGCACGCTTTTCGCGATTCTCTCTCGTACACATTACATGGTATTTGGTTTTCAGTGTATATACCAATACTAAATTAAATAAATGTTATCTATTTCGACGTAACAAGGTAGTGTAGCTATTTAGAGCGTTGGGAGTCTTGTTGAGAGGCTTAAAATACAACAAAAGATACAAAGAATTGAATATGTATTGACGCGTCTAAAATTAGCCTACTGTCTTCGTGCCTTCCATGAATACGATCCTTCGGAAAGGTTGTTCAACTTTCATTTCTGATCCATGAAAAGAAGTGGTATTACTGTCCCTTGTTCATTCTCATTTTTATATAATAAGTGTTACCGGTAATCTGTACAATTCAGGTATTCTATACAAAACCTAGGCAATGTATAGAATACCTGGCTTGCCCAGGTAATGTATGGAATATTATGAATATTATTATTCATTATATAACATACTTTACCTAGGTAATGAATACAATTCCTAGGGATTGTATAGAGTACCTGCTATTCCACGGGCAATCTGTAAAATACATAGATCTTGGTCTGAATTTATCAATGTTAACAGGTACACCTATAAAATGACGGGCATAACAAGTTACATTATTTAGAATCAACTTTATTAAAAATAAGGTTTATGGAAAGGGTACAAAAATGCACCTTTCTATAACTACATTAAAATTAACGTGGAACTAAGAATAAAAGTACGCAGTTTATTGCCTGCCTGCCAGTTCGTACAACCCGTTACTTGCTCTCGTCTTTTACATATACATTACCGGCTGCGCATTCGGTATTGTATAGAATACCTAGGCAAAATATAAAACAAATAATATTTCATATATACAGGGTTTGTTCGGAAAGTAATAGGACTGAGTCGATTTAAAAAAATTTATTGAGCGAATCGTTACAATTCTTTAAAAACTTTCAAAATAGGCTCCTTCTGCGTCTATGCAGCGCTGCCAGCGCGATTTCCAAGCATTGAAGGCGTCACGGAAGGCATTCTCCGGAATAGCCTTGAGAGCCGCGGTGCATGCTGCTTGGATCCCGTCTGTCGTCTCAAAATGCTTGCCTTTCATCGGCTTTTTCAGGCGAGGAAACAAAAAAAAAGTCCGGGGAGGCCACATCTGGGCTGTAAGGCGGCTGCGGAGGCGTTGGGTTGCCGGCCTTGGTCAGGTAGCTGTTCAGAAGAAAGGCGGTGTGAGCCGGGGCGTTGTCGTGGTGCAACTTCCAGTCGGCTGCGATGTCTTGTCGGACCAGACTGACCCTTCGTTTGAGTCTCCCGAGCACTTCCACGTAAAACTTGGCGTTGACGGTTTGGCCAGGAGGAACAAATTCATGGTGGACGATGCCTTTGATGTCAAAAAAGACAATGAGCATCGTTTTCACTTTGGATTTGCTCATTCTTCCCTTTTTTGGGCGAGGAGACGCCGTCGTGTGCCACTCGGAAGATTGCCTCTTTGTCTCGGGATCATACTCAAAGATCCACGATTCGTCACTTTATTACGTTATTTAAAAATTGGGGATCACTTTCACACATGTTCAAATTTTCTTGGCACACTTCCACTCGCCGCAATTTCTGGTCGTCAGTGAGCAGGTTTGGGACGATCTTCGCGCATACTTTGCGCATGTTCAAATGCTGTTTCACAATGTCATGAACCACAGATTTTGGTAAATTTAGCATCTGGGCAATTAAACGAATACTTAGTCGACGGTCTGAGTTCAAAACATTATCGGTGTTTGTCGAAGTCGAAGGTCTTGGTGCCACCGAAACACATCACTTCTTGCTAAAACAACACCTGGGTAATCCTGCTTGATCATATCAAACGTCTTTGTCGCAGATTTACCGAGATTCACACAGAATTTAATCGCGTACCTCTGCTCTAACGAACGCTGCATTTTCGGCTTGCACCACTCACAGAAACAAGTCGCGCGAAAATGCCTGTCCTGACTCTCCAAGTGCTCGGAGACAACTGACCAGCCGCTCATTCGTTAGCCAGGAACGCCCTCTACCGAATCCAGTCGGTGCGCGCATGCTCCGAAGTACAGTCATGGCGGAAGAAAATGAGTCCTATTACTTTTCGGACAAACCCTGTATATTACCTACACGTTTTAGGTATTCTACACATTACCTAGGTATTGTACAGAATACTGGATTATACAGACTGCCGGCAACATAAGCACGATAATACTTCAGATATGAAAGGCAGTTCGCTTTAAAAACATTCATGTAAGCTAAACAAAGAAGTCACCTACCGTACTTTGGTATTTCCGCATCCTGTTGTACTTAAATTTGAAGAGATCGTAAGCTCTTCAATAATAAGCAGTAATAAAGATCAGTACTTACAAGAAGATTGACATAAACTGTGAACTGAAAGAGTGAAAATGCACATAGCCATAGTCATCGAGTTTATGTATAGTACCTTTCAAAATGAGTTAAGGGATACTGAATAGTCGTTCTTAGTATATATGCCATTTATTATATTAGATACTCTTATGTCGGTTTATGGGTCAAAACTAAAATTCCACGACCTGGCTTGGCCATTCATATATCAGATCGGAACGAAAATTGCACAAAGTTATTTTTTTCGTGAAGGAGATGGAGCAGCCTATCCACTATATAAATGAAATTTTGTACTCGGAGTTTGAATTAGTCGGATATGCCTTTGGATCCAATTTTCGATATTTCGAACCAAAATTGGTCATTTTCACGTTACTGGGAGGCGAATCCTAAATCATATTGGGCTCAAATGACAGGCGTAGCGAGAAACTGGAAATATTGCCAAGAAGGTTAAAATTTACATTTTTTCCGCACCTGAAAACTTTGGACGAGTCTCCAGAACGAACCGTTTGTCCTATGAATTTGATAATTTACAAAGGGTCATGCCTGTATAAATTCTCTTCAAAAAACAAAATTGAGCCCTATATGATTCATGACTTGCCCTCTAGTAACGTGCAAATGGCCTATTTCGGTTCAAAATATCAAAAATTGGATCCAAAGGCTTATCGGACCAAATTAAAGGTCCGACTGACTAAAAAAATAATAAAAAATACTAATTGAGCAAATTTAACAAATATAATTATTTTTTTTACTTGGAGCAGGCAAACTCATTTCAATAGTTTATTAATTTTAAATAAATTATTGTAAGCAATCTAAGTAAACGGTTTGATTCATGTAAAGATTGTGCTTTGGTTCAATTAAACTAGTTTCATAGATTCAAGTAAAAGGTTTTAGAAATCGCTGTTTGATTAAGCTAGTTAAACTTCTTAGCTGAAAGATACTTATTTAAATTTTTTAATAGGCCTAATTAAAATTTTTAATTGTTCAATTGATTTTTCTCAGTGTACACATTCGGATAGATCCTACCAAGAGAACAATATTGATATAAAGCATACTACAGCTTTTGATGATTGGTTTTTGCATTATAAGCGACTCAATATGCATGCATTAATTCTGTTAAGTACTATAATCCCATTCGTAGTCCATTTACGTCCAGACAAAACACAACATGCCCAAAAGCGAGATTGTACAGGTTCGTATTTTCCTCAATGGTCTTGGAATAATCTAACTAAATAAATGATTATTTTTATTGAAAGAAGTGCACATACTTTTCACAATTCTTTATTCGCAGGAAGTACTTGAATCATCGTCCGAATGGTTGATATTAATTATTACAGGTTCAATTTGAATATCGATCATATTGCCCAGATCCCACATCTTTGTTTCGATTGTCTCCTGAACGTAACGGATGCAATCTTTCCAATGGTTTGCTCTCCTCACAGCTTCATCAAATTTTTCACGTCAGAAATTTTGAATGTTCTATTGTTT